CCGTTGCTGACCGAGATGTAATTGTGCAGCAAATGACCGTGTGTACGTATGGTCATGACACAGAGGACAGAGAACAACGGGGACGAAAGGGAAAGGTCAAACACACAGAGGAAGATTAAACATCGGTCTGAATGACACACGTGAATGCGAGCCTCTTCTTCTAAAAGAATCTAATATTGGGTAAAAAATAACATCCTAGTGGATGCTCTCGCTTAGAGAATAACAGAGCACGGTGACTCCGGACGTCACAAGTCAGACAACGGCAAAGATGTGCAAGAGATCAGAGAAACACGCACGTGCACACACGCATGCACACACGCATGCACACACGGGCAAGCGCACACACACATACACGTGCACATGCACACATGCGCACGCACATACACACGTGCACACATGCGTGCACACGGGCACGCACACACAGGGCAGGGCGTTGAGAGAATCAGGCATCCCGTGCGGCCAGCAGGGTCCCTCTGATTTAATAGAGGGCCAGCGCACCACCTTGACAGGGTAGTAACGTGCCATCAGATACGTCATCTCAAACCTGTGAAAAGGGAGAGGCTGAGACAAGCCAGCACCGACAGGACGTGGGACGGGCTGGAAGGCAGCAGGAAAGCAGCCCTCATGGGTGTCTCCTTAGCCGTGCGCCCTTCGCGGGCCGCAGCCGCCTGTCACCGTGAGCATCCTCCGCCTCGACTCGCACCGGTGCGGAATCCGAGCCATCAGCCTCCTCTGGCCCCTGACGGCGGCCGGCAGCGGTCATGGTCATGCAGAGCTACTCCGGCCGGACATGTGGCCGTCCCTGGCCTGAGCTCTCAGTGGCCCCATTAGCCCCGTTTGGGTCTAAGGCAAGATTTCAGGCCAGCAGAAGATTCCAGGCTGGCGGAAGGACCGGCCCTCCTTGGCCGTTTCTGCTCGGTTAGCGCGTTGGCAGCGTCTCCCGAGGTCAGGCCTCGCCAAGCGTAGATGCTGTCCCAGCCAGGGACGGGCCACACCCCTGACGCCAGCCAGCAGGTGCCCAGACAAAAATGCAAAACTGCTGTGTCAAGCCGCTCCCGTAGGGCGCAGGCCAGGTCCTTTTGAGTGATCAGGCTCAGGCCGATTTCAGAAATAATAGGAGATGAGAACAAATGTTTCTTGGAATTGAGGGAAAATGGCGAGAGGCCACTTTAACATCTCCCAAGGTTGCCAGGACCAAGATTTAGTCTGTTTCCTTTGGCTCTACTTCCGAGACGCTCAGGACGTGCTAGTTTGAAGTGTAGCACGTGGCTGCAGCTTTTGCTTTGTCCCCATGTCCTGCCGCTTTTCCAGCACCAGGCAGTGTCTTCGGCCGTAAACAGGCTCCAAGCCTGTTTCGAAAGAGCACGGGATCAGTGGGTGCTCCTGAGTCGAGCTGTGCTCACCGAGGCGGGGGTCTCGCCCGCTCGCTGCCGTCACGGGGACCCTGCCAGCGCCGCTGCTGCCCATGCGCGTGTTCCGGGCCACCTGCCTCTGGAGCTGCTGAGAATTTTCACTCCTGGTTACTCCGCAGGCAGAAGCTGCTGGAAACCTGAGCAATACTGTGATTCCCCTCGTGTTAGAGGCAGACCCTCCCTGAGGGGCGTACACCGTCCCTGCCTGAAAAGGGGGCTCTGCCCCTCCCCCCGCCCTCTCCTCCCTCCCCCTTGTCCTCCTTGGCGGCCTCTCCATCCCTCGCCAGGCAGCGAGGACGTGTCACCGGGGCCATCTCCCCTCACCTTCACAAGCCCTCACTCAGCAGGGGCCGAGGACGGAAGCAAACCTGTACAGTCTGAGTGACGCGCCCTCTGGGAGGTGGCAGCTCTGTGCTTGCGGCTTGGGCTTCTGTGCCTTGGAAGTCGAGTGCTGTTTTGGTCTCAGTGTGTCATGTCGCTCCCCTTTGGTAAAATTGTTTTCTCAGGAACCATGCAAATAAATAGGAGCATGTTTTTCTAATTGATTGTTTTCCACCCTACTTACTTCCAAAAATGAGTCAAAAAGCTTACAATCCAGCCTGAGCAAGAGTGAGTCCTTGTTGCTACAAAAAATGGAAAAATTAGCCAGATATGGTGGTGTGTACCTGCAGTCCCAGCTATGTGGGAGGCTGAGGCAGGAGGATCGCTTGAGCCCAGGAATTTGAGGTTGCAGCCTGGGCAACACAGTGAGACTCTGTCTTCAAAAAAAAAGCTTTGATAAAACATAGATCAATAAAAGTTCAAACATGATGAACCTCTTCCTATCCACACATTTACAAATGATGCAGGAACCGCTACTCTGTAGCTCTCCATGGTCTAGAGCCCCTGTCCTCAAAGGTCCTTGCAAGACAAAAGTCAGAAATCAAAGAGCAAAGGGAAAGGAAGTGAGTCTCTCCAGTGGCAGTGGTAGGAAGGTCTTTAAAGGAGAATTGGCTCTGTGCTTCCTGGCAGCCAGGGCAAAGAGGGGAACCTGTGATGCTGTCTTGTACTCTGGGACAGCCAGGGGGAGCAGACCAGCTCCGAGGAGAGGCTGTCTTCCCCCTTTTAGTTCCAAGAAAGGTTGGTCTGGGGCATCTACGTGGAAGTGGCTTTGGGCAGTATGCTCAAGGTCATTGATACGCAGGGCTGCTCCCCGTGGAGCTTCTGTGGCTCCAAGAATGGGGTGCTGTCAGGGCCGCAAGGAATGAAAGAACCTGTCTTAGTCCATTTTCTGCAACTGTAACAGAATACCACAGACTGGGTAATTTCTAAAGAACAGAGAGTTATTTAACTCTTGGTTCTGGATGATGGGAAGTCCAACAGCACAGCACAGGCAGCTGGCAAGGGTCATCCCATGGTGGATGATGGAAGGCGGAAGCGAGGACCAGAGACAGAGGGAATCTGGCTGAACTCAGTCTTGATCAGGAACGCGCTCAGTGGATGACAGCGTCCGTCCGCTCGTGAGGGCGGAGCCCTCGGGACCGGACCACCTCTTAAAGGCCCCAACTTTTGCTGTTGTTACGATGGCAATTAAATTTCAGCATGAGCTTTGGTGCAGACATTCCAACTGTAGCAGGACCCGAATGCGTTGCTGCCTCTACCGGGCAGCTGGGAGCAAGGGGACACCCCCACTCTGGGCAGAATAATGTCAGTTGCTGGAGTGGCAGCGTTGAGGGGCCAGCTCTTGCCACTTCCTGCCCAGACACCCTCAGGATGGACGAAAGAGGACATTGTATCCTTGGTGCAGAGCGAGGGCCGGGGCATCCTGGCCTAGCTCTGGGTGGAGCCCGTGGAGGGGCCGAGGCCAGGCCTCTGACACGTGCCCAGAGGCCGGCTGCGCCGTGCCGGAGCGGTCCTGGGCACGTGCCCTGTCTGGGCTCTGCAGCTCACACCTTCCAGCTGTGAGACCGAGGCACAGTGGGGACAGCTGGTTCGCCCATGGCACGCGGGGTCTGTCTTGCTCCAGGGCCTGGTCTCCTTCCCCGGTGTCGGGGACTGAGGGCTGGGGAGGGTATAGGTGCCAGGAGCCCTGGGGACACAGGTCGTGGTCAGCCTAGCGCCCGAGTGAAGAGGGGGTGTGTCCAGTGCTCATGGCCCCCTCCCCCTGCAGAAGGTGGGCTGCGACGGGGTGATCGGCTCCAGCAAGCAGGAGGACAAGTGTGGCGTGTGCGGAGGGGACAACAGTCACTGCAAAGTGGTCAAGGGCACGTTCACGCGCTCGCCCAAGAAGCACGGTGAGTGAGGCCTCGCCCGGGTCTGAGTGTCTGATCCTCGTGCCCAGGCTGGGTTGGGCCCGGCTCATCCTTGCAGCTCTGTCTGGGTTCGTGACCGTTCTCGCTGGGGGTGGGGGATCGGGGAGGGTGAGGTAGAGGGAGAATCCTAGGTCAGGGCAGAGGAGAATGGGGGCCCAGGTCACAGGGGTCAGGGCAGAGAATGCCAGGATGTAAGGGTGCCCAGGTTGGGCCTTCGGAGTCTTTACTGGAGGTCAGGAGCCCCCCAGCCCTCCAGCGACACCCAGCTGGCCCGTCTGTCCCCGGCTCTCTCCTCCTGCCCCCAGCTGGCCGTCAGCAGGGCTTCGCTGGACTGGTCAGTGCGGCCTGGGTGCGCCGTAGGTCTGTCCCTGCAGGGCTGCAGGGTGGGGCTGGGGAACGTGGGGTCCCTGGCCGAGGTGGGCTCTGGGAAGACGGCCCTCGGGGAGAGCCTCATTCTAGAGCAGGGCCCTTCCTGGCCCTCAGCCCTCTGGGCAGGCCCGCAGCAGCCAGCGACACCTCTGTGGGCCTGGCCGTCCTGCCCCTGAAACGGGGAGAAGCCACTTAATCTGCCTCTTTTAGAAGAGGGCCGTGGAGCCTCTTCCGCTCTGCAGGTTCGGGAGGCCTCTTGCCTTCTCATTCGGCTTTGTCGTCCCACATCCAAACAAAGGTCACATCAAGATGTTCGAGATCCCCGCGGGAGCCCGACACCTGCTCATCCAGGAGGTAGACGCCACCAGCCACCATCTGGGTGAGTCTCAGAGCTGGACAGCCCGGTGTCCTCGAGACCTGGCTCTTCCGGGACGGGCAGGGTGCCAGGGGTCAGAGGCCTGGGTTGTGCGGCTGGACCCTGAGCTGGGGCAGCCCCCGCGACCCCTCCCTCGGCCTGGGGCCTTGCCGGGGTCTTCTCCTTGCGGAGAGGCCAGCGGGCTCCAGCCAGCGGCGGCTGTGGAGGGGCGAGGTGGGTAGGCCCCAGCCCTCTGGGAGGCGGGCAGGGTCTGAGGGCAGCAGGTGCGCCCACACCAAGGCCAGCCAGAGGGCGGGCTCACACCATGCACTGGCATATTTTCAACTAGTCTAATTTTAAAATGAAGACATTCCACCTAGGGATTTCTGGTATCTCTTGAAAATGGGGTGCCCCTTCCCAGCTGCCCGGGGCCCCTCTCAGGGGCCGCACCCAGCCTCACCTCCTGTCCAAAGGTGCTGGGGACCACTGGGGTCCCTGGACAAGTCCCTTCACCCAACCTGAGCTCCGCCCTCAGCCCTGTCCCCGGGCTGGACTGGGTCAGGGCGCCCGCGCCCGCAGCAGCGAGTGGGAGCCCCGCTCTCAGTGCGCATCTTCCCCTCTCACTCACTGTAAGAGGAATCTTCGTGTTGCCACCTTAAATGCACATCCAGTCCCTCGGTAGAAGGTAAACACAAAGGTGATTCCCAAACAAAAGACACCTCTGTCCCAAAGCTGTTTCCTGCCAAGGTCTCTGGGGCGGAGGCCCACTCTGCAGAGGGGGCGAGTGCCAGGGAGAAATCGGGCCCACCAGCGCCAACCAAGGCTTGCCCCTGATGTGGACAGAGTTACAGGGGCCTTTCTCACTCACGCACTGTCTGTGGCCCGCAAAGTCACCCAGAAGCCCGCGGCAGCCACCTTCCACACTCCCCGACCAGCAGGGTCTCGCCTCCTGGATGGTCCGCGGAGGCCCAGGGGCCCGAGGGCCGCCGGTCGGGCCGGGCCTCTCCGCGGAGCGGGGGGCGGAGCTGCTGGGGCCTCAGCCAGGGGTGGGGAGGCCCTGCTGCCTGGGGACATGGACTTGCCCTGGTGGCCAACAGAGCCTGTGCCCGGTGGAGACCCCTCCCTCCGTGCTGCCTGGTGGCCGCCAGCACCCACTGAGTGCCCTGAAGAGACAGCAGGAGGGGCCTGGGGGGCAGATCCAGGAAAGGGCACTTGGGGGGGCAGACGGTGCGCAGGGCGGGGGGTCTAGTCCCGGCAGGCCTCAAGGGGCAGGTGGGCTCCCAGAGCGACGTGGATGCCAGTGGCCCAGAGCCTGGCAGAGGGCAGCTGGGGACATGGGGGCCCTGCTGCCACGACTCCCCCCACCAACCACAGCCAGCACGGCCCGCGGGCCTGCCCCAGGCTGACTGCCCCGCGGACCTCCCCGTGCCGTTCTCAGCCGTCAAGAACCTGGAGACGGGCAAGTTCATCTTAAACGAAGACAATGACGTGGACGCCACTTCTAAATCTTTCATCGCCATGGGCGTGGAGTGGGAGTACAGGGACGAGGACGGCCGGGAGACGCTGCAGACCATGGGCCCCCTCCACGGCACCATCACCGTCCTGGTGAGCGGAGGCCAGGCCGGGCCCACCGCCTCCTTGCGTGCGGGCAGCGGGGAGGGGCCCCCGGGGCGGAACTGGGGACCGGGAGCCCCGCGCTCTGCACGGCCTCTTTGGCCTGCCCTTTGCACCCAAGGTCTCCAACGCTGTGTCACAGCCAGGAAGGGACACGGGCCTGTGAGTCAGGGCTCCGGGCTCTGCGTGCCCCACGGGTGACCTTGAGCACATTCTCTCTGCTCTGAGGCTTTGGCGTTGGCGTCCTGTCTGAATGACATCCGTAGCTGCCATCCGTCATGCTCGCTCACACGTGCCCTCACGCTGAAACCCTGTGACACCCGTGGTGGGGGGAGTCAGGGCCCAGGAAGCCGGACGACCAGCCCCAGGTCACACTGGACATGTCTCTAAGTGGGACCGCACCTCAGATCTCCTGGGTCCAGGACCACGGGCTGCTCCTGGTTACGGAGATTACTCAGGGGGCTGGGTTTTCAAATCACTTCTTAAAAAGTAATTTTAATTGCATAAGTGAAATATTTTATTTGCCAAAAAATGCAGACACGCAGGTAAGCCTCTGGTGTCTGGGAGCCTCTCCCCTAAGGCGAGCGCGCTAGGGGTGGCTTCGGTCAGCAGCCCTGGGCTTCACACGTGGGCGCACCTGTGAACAGGTGTGATGGCCAGGTGTGCTCTGTCCACCCAGTGCCACCCCGCTCGTTCAGTGGGACGTGAATCAAAAATATATGTTAAATGAAGTGTCTTCAAACAGAATCCCACCTAAAACAAGGCGATACACAAATCAGTTGACAAAGTTGTGACCAGAGGCTTGCGGGGACCGAGCCCCGTGTGCCCCCGGTGTGTGGCTCAGTGTCCGTGAGCTCAGTGCCCCGGGAGACCTGATAGAACACAGCCACGCGGATCGCAGGGACGAGTGTGTGCGCCTCGGGCTGCTGTTCCCGCGCCGGCGGTGGCGGAGGGGAGGAGAGCGGGGCAGACACATTCACGGCCGTCCCGGGTGGGTGCAGGTTATCCCAGAAGGAGACGCCCGGATCTCACTGACGTACAAATACATGATCCACGAGGACTCGCTCAACGTCGATGACAACAACGTCCTCGAAGATGACTCTGTGGTCTACGAGTGGGCCCTGAAGAAGTGGTCTCCCTGCTCCAAGCCCTGCGGCGGAGGTGAGGGGGCGTCTCAGCGTTGGGGCCCTGGGTGGCACGAGGGCGGCCGTGAGGCGGCGGGGGCAGGGCCCAGCGTGAGCAGAGCGTGGAGCCGGGAGCGCAGTCCTGAGGAGGTCTGGCTGAGCGGGAGGGGTCTTCTGGGCGAGGGGCTTCCCGAGTAGGCGGTGCCCTGCTGACTGCGGGCCTGAGGCCAGAGTGAGCCTGGGCGTGGGCCCAAGGTGAGAAGGCGGGCCCTGGGGGCTCGGGCGCCTGGGCAGGGACCTTTGCCTGGGTGGACAAGGGCCTGGCCAGGCTGGGACGGGCCAGCAGGTGGGCGAGAGGGCTGGGTGCTGGGGCATCAGGCCAAAGGTGGCACGAGACCATGCTGGCATGACCTGCCTCAGCGTGGCGGGCCGCCCGCATGGCGAGAGGGTGGCCTGTGGGTGGATCCCACCATGGCATCGGCAGGACAGGGCACAGGCAAGGCTCGGGCAGTGCTGGGACACCTCTGGGAGGATCCTCCCTCTGTTCATTCGGAAAGGCCTCGTAGACCTTCCCGGGCAGGGCTGGGCGCAGAGGGTCCCATCTGCCCTGAACCTCAGCCCGCACTTGGATGGGACACGGGGCACACGGAGGGACGGGATGCTGTGGTCTGTCCAATGTGCTCACTGCTCCTGGCGGCCGGACAAGATAGGAGGCAGGTGGCCAGGACAGCCCTCCCTGGGATGCCATGCCAGGCCCCACAAGGAGGAGCCCACCAAGGGAGGGGCCACGGCCTGGTCCAGGCTCTTCCAGGGCCCCCGGGCGGACGGTGTCCCCGCCTTTCCCTGTGCTTCCGCGTCCCGCCGGGACTTCGGCAGCACGTCCTGCTGATTCTCCCTCCTGCGTGTCTCTCAGACACGCCTACTATTCCCGCCTTCCCGGCCACCCCTGGTCCTGGCACCTTCCTCCCGACTGGTGTGTCCAGTCTTGCCCCCAGAGTGGCCTCGTAAAGGAACACATCAGACCCTGTCCTTTCCTGGTGTCACAGTCCTCAGCTGCTCCCTCTGCTCTTGGGATAAGAAACAAAGTTCTCAAGTCACCGTGGTCCATGGAACTTGCTGACATCTCCTGGAGCACGGGCACCCCTGTCCCTTGCCCCCTGGGCCCTGGCCACGCTGGCTTTGGGCACGCCCGCCCCCTCTGCACAGGCCACCCACTAAATCAGGACCCCCTTCCTCTGCTTCCTGGGATGCCCCAGTGCCTGGGCTGGCCGGCTTTGTCTCATCCTTTTGTCTGGCCCCCCAGGCTGGGGCTCCGCCGCCGCACCGCCGTTTTCCTCTCAGGCTCTGTCATTGGGCGGGGGCTGCCCCGTGCACGGCAGGGTGCAGCGCACGCAGCAAGTGTGGTGGAAGGAAGCGCGCGGGCCCTGCACCCAGTGCTGGCCCAACTCCCGGCTCATGCCAGGCCCCCGTGCACACGGAGTCACGATGGAGAGGAGATGAGGCCTCCACTCGGGCCGGGATCCAGGGACGGGGCCATGGGAGAGTCCACGGAGGGAACTGGTGGGGAGAAGGCGGCCTCTCTCTGCGCCATCTGGCCCCTCCCAGCAGCCCCACTGGGCTTGAGGCCCCGCCCCACCCTCTACATCATCTCAGGGGTGGTGAGAACAGGGCTGGGACTGCCGCTGCAGCCCACCCCTCCGTGCCCCCTTGGGGGGGCTGTGCTGCCCCATAGAGCCCCCTCCAGCTCTCTGTCTCTAGGGTCCCAGTTCACCAAGTACGGTTGCCGCCGGAGGCTGGACCACAAGATGGTGCACCGAGGCTTCTGCGTCGCCCTCGCGAAGCCCAAAGCCATCCGCCGGGCATGCAACCCACAGGAGTGCTCCCAGCCCGTGTGAGTGCCCCTAGCTCGGGTCCCACTAGGCGGAGGGAGGCCAGGGGCTGCCAGGGGCTCCCACGGAGGGAGGTGTGGGATCTGAACCTCTGAGCAGCTCTGGGCATGGCACTGCCCACGGCGCGGGACGGGGTCTTTCTCACCATGGTTCCCACAGTCTAAGATGCCGCAGGTTGGAAGGTGCACCCCAGCTTCGGACCTACTAACCTGAAACAGGGGTGTGCCTCTTAGAAGTGACAACAAATGGTGATGCCCAGATGGGGAAATTGAGGCTTAGAGGGCCCAGGGCTGGCTCCCCGTCCTGAGGTAGATGTCTCCCAAGCAGGGCTTTGGTGTCAGGCCCGGGGCTTGGCCAGCTGCACTTCTGGGCCCAGGTTCCTTTCGCAGGACGCTGCGGGGGGAAGATGGTAACTAGGCAGATGGGGGCCGTGCAGGACAGGGGGCCGCGAGGCCACACTGCTCTCGAGCTCTGCGCAGGATTCGAGACGTCAGCAGGTCAGGACAGGTGGCAGGGTCAGGGGCCTGAGAAGGGACAGAAGGCAGGCAAAGCTCCTCAGCCTTGTGTCCTCCACAGCCACCGGCTCCACCAGGGGTCTCCCAGCGGAGGACATGCGTGGGATTCGCCATCAGTAGGACCTGGGGCAACTGAGCCTTGGTTTCCCCCCGTGCAGCCCTGCGCGGCTGGCGGCTTTGTGAGAACGGACGGGAAAACGAGCACCAGGGAGTGGAGGAGCCTCCTCCTCTCTGTCCTCGCCGTCCACCGGGGCTGCAGGGCGTGGTCCCGGAGTTCAGCTGGGCTGGATCTCCGGGGGCCTGACCGTGTGCCGCTCTGCCCCGCAGGTGGGTCACGGGCGAGTGGGAGCCGTGCAGTCAGAGCTGCGGGCGGACGGGCGCGCAGGTGCGCTCCGTGCGCTGCGTTCAGCCCATGCACAACAACGCCACCCGCTCCGTGCACGCCAAGCACTGCAACGACGCCCGGCCTGAGAGCCGCCGGGCCTGCAACCGCCAGCTCTGCCCTGGTCGGTGGCGGGCTGGGCCCTGGTCCCAGGTAAGCAGTCCCCCCGGCCCCGTACCCTTGGCCCCCAAACTGAGTTTGGGTGGGACCGAGGTGGCCAGGGCCTTCCACTTTGGCACGTGGGCCTGGACACGATTCCTGTCGTGGGCTACGTCCCATGGGTTTCAGGGCACAAGTGGGTGCCGCGTGGTCGGCGCTCTGCTGAGAAGCCCACCGGAATGTGTGTGGACTGTACGGGCGGAGGCCCCTGGGTGCCACGGGGCCTGGAATCCCAGGAAGCGGGAGCCTGGGCTCCGGAACAGGGGAGGAGGTCTGGGCCTCGTCTCGGAGGCTGGAGGGGCCGTCTAGAAGGCCAGCCCAGCTCCCGGGAGGGAGATATTCGGGGGGACTTAGACGTGCGCTGGGAAGAACAAGGAGAGTGGGCTCAGAGGCCAGAGGGCAGCTCGGGGGCAGGGGCCAAGCGCCAGCCAAGGCCAGGCCACAGCTGACACGAGCTCTGACAGCCAGCCCGCAGGCCTGCTATGCCGGGGGTCCCTGAGATCACCCTCGGGCTCAACAGCCCGCTAGGAGGACCGGCAGGGCTCAGAAGCTGTCGCGCTCGCGGGTGCAGTTTAGTGCAGTGAAAGGGGACAGGAGAGTCAGCAACAGGACAAGCCACGTGGGTGAACGCAGGAGGAAACCAGGCACATGCTCCTGGGTGTCCCTTCCCAGTGGAGTCACAAGGGACACACTTAGTTCTTCCACACCCGTGTGCGGCAATACACGTGTAGTGTTGCCAACCAGGGAGGCCCACTAGCGCTTGGCACCCAGGGTTTCCACTGGGGGCCACACGGGTATCTAGTGCCCATGTGACTGACCTCGGACGCAGACGGAGAGCAGGTATCCCCGTAACTCACGTTGGCGTGAACTGCCGGGACCAGCTGCTTGGCATGGCTGAGGCCTCAGGCAGAAGCGCTCCTGGCAGGCAGAACCTTCCGTGGGCGTGTTCCCAGGAGCTTCACAAGGGCCGGCCCTAAAAACAGGCCCTTGTTGGGAATATGGGGTTTGAGCACCCCAGGGCTGCTGAGTGCTGAGTCGACCCTTCCTCGAACACGCCACAAGGACTGGAGAGTTTTCTTGGCCCCGGCTGGGCACGATGCTCCTTCTGGCCCCTGCCTGTCGGTGTGGTGGGGCAGAGAGGGTGTTGGCTGGCGGGGTCAGGGAGGGCACTGGTGGCAGAGCCTTGAGTCTGGGGGTGCTGGGGCCTGTCAGAGCCTCCCGGGCTTGGTCAGGGCTTTCCCAGTGGCCCACGGGGCACAGCTCTCCCGGAGAACCGGGAGTGCCAGGCCCGCACAGCCTCTGAACGCGGTGCTAACTCACCACCGCTGGGCGGGACAGGCACGTGTGAGTCCTCTTCAGAGCCCCGGGAGGCTGGGGCCTGCCCCGAAGGCGGGCTAAGGCGCCCGTTCCCCTGCTCTGCCCCCGCCTGCTCGGAGCTGAATGGTGCCCGGTGACTCTCCCCCGGCAGTGCTCGGTAACCTGTGGCAACGGCACCCAGGAGAGGCCGGTGCTGTGCCGCACCGCAGACGACAGCTTCGGCATCTGCCAGGAGGAGAGGCCCGAGACGGCGCGGATCTGCAGGCTGGGCGCCTGTCCCCGTAAGCCCTCTGCTCCCCGTCCGCGCGCGGCAGCCCAGGGCGGGGCTGGGGACGTGGTCCGGGCAGGCTTGGCTCTTCCCAGAAGTGGCTGGACGCAGCGACCCTGGAGAAGCAGCGCCCTCTGGGCCGGGGCTGGGCCTTTACCTGGGGGAAGTGGAGGGAGTCGGCGTGCGCCCCGACCTCTCCCCGCCCTCGTGGCGCTGTGCCCACTGGGCAAGCCAGGGGCCGCCAGGCGCCCTTGAAGGAGCACCACGCCCACCGCACGCTCTGCCCAGGCGGGGGCGCAGCCTTCGCCGCAGCCGCCGCAGCGCCCCTCTCCTCCCTCTAGGGAACGCCTCCGACCCGTCCAGGAAGAGCTACGTGGTGCAGTGGCTGTCGCGCCCGGACCCCGACTCGCCCGTCCGGAAGATCTCGTCAAGTAACCGCCCCGTTTATAACTCTGCCTCTGCCCTCCAGTGCATGCCCTGCGCCTTGTGGAGCTTGCCGTGGGCCCCCCTGCTCGCTCTCTATGGAAAGCTGCCCTGACTCCGGGCGCGCCGCCGGTCGTTCTCTCGGGCCTGGGGCCGGCCTGGCGGAGGCGCGGCCCGGGCTCTGGCGCCTTGTGTCGGGCCCGGACCTGGCTGGTGACGGCTCATAAAGGGGCAACGATCTGTCGTGGTGCTGGCGGGGTCGGAGTGACCGCGGGGCCGCCGCCCCCGGCCGAACCGCAGGTGGCAGTGGGGGGCCCGGCTGCCGCCGCACCGCCCGCCGCGGGGCGCGGCCGGAGGGGTCTCGGGCGTCGGTTTCGCGTCGCCGCCGTGCGGGGACCACGCCCGGGTTCCCGCGGTGCCGGTCTCCGGCTGCCACCGCCGCTGCTGCTGCCGCCCCTCGCCGAGCGTCCCGACTCGTGGAACTGCGGCCCGCTTCCGCCCGGCCTTGCGTCCAGCTCACGCCGCCCGCCCGCGCCCTGTCCTCTCGGGGGTCGGACCAAGCGGAGGAGGCGGGGTCGCGCCCCCGCTTCCGTTCTCCGGGCGTCACCCCAGGGCCTTTCTCATGGCGCGCACGAGGCCCGGCCCGCAGGTTGAGCGAGGGCTTGACGCGGACGTGCCTCGCCCGCCGGTGTGAACGAATACAGAATTACCTCAATTTCTATTGCTTTTTGCTTAGAAAAACCGTGTAGAAATGCCTTAAAGTTGAAAGGTGGCAGAAGTGGCTGCTCATGCCGGCTCGGAGCGGGCGCGGCCCCGGTAGGGGGCGGTGGAGCGTCGGGCCGGTCGGTCCTCGCCAAGGTCAAGGTTTCGACCCCGACCCCGCACGGGAGGGAGGCGGACCGGCCTCGGCCCCGCCCCGGCCTCCGCCCCGCCCCGAGCTGTCGCCGCCGGTGAGTGACGCGCGCTAATCCTCACGACTGTTAACTTGCAACTTGGCCGCCGCCGCGCGACCCGACGGTGCGGCGCGGCCCTGGGCACCGTGCTGTCTGTCCGCACTTTGGTTTATCAGGGACATTTTATTAGTGTTTTGTATGTATTTAATGACGTATTCTATAGGCTCCATTGTTGTTGCTTTTCCGGTTTTTTAACGAGACGACGTTAGCGTGTGCCAAAGTGACTGTGAAAATGATCTTTCATTCTTACTGATGATGGAAAGACCTCCTGTCATGCATCCCTCAAATAAACTCAATAAAACTCCGTGAAACTGGGCGCTTTGCTTGGGTTTGGCAAGCTGATGGCTCGTTTCTCTCACCTGGCTGACTGTGGGTTCACTCTGTAGCAGCGGTTACCCCATTTCTTATTCAAATGACTTCACTGCCCCACGTAGGTATCCGGGTCCCCTCCGCAGGCATTTTTCTAAATATGACAACCTGCAAAGACACTCTGGGTGACTTCGATTTTGCATGTGAGCGCTAAACAAGCACCTGCAACAGGGTCTAGGTTCTCTCTGAGATGGTGGCCTTGGGGGCAGGAGAAGCCCCCATCTTTGGGATCAGAGCCTGTGGAGTGGAAATGCGGGGTCAGGGGTCACCTGCCCTGACTCCAGGCACAGTTCTCAGCCCTAGGCTACTCGTTCGGGAGGGAGCGGTGCCCACGTGGCCCAGGTGGGCGCTGGGCCGGCCCCAGGAGAGTCTGGGTCCAGGCGGGGAGGGCCGCGGTGGCTCCCTGGGCAGCCTGCCGACATGCGGGCGTGTGCGTGTGTGCTCGGCCGGGCCTGGCCGTGTCTCCCCGCTCTACCCTGGGGAGCAGCAGGGCCCGTGTTCACTCAGCTCGCTGACAACGACCAGGCAGAGGGTCAGGGTTCAACAGGGGCCTCAGGAGCTGGGGCCCGCGCCGTGTCCTGCTGGCAGGAAGCTAACTGCTCCCTTTTAGGGACCACTGCGGGGTTTTCTGCCGGGGAGGAGTAAGAAAGCTTGGGAGACCATGAGAGAGAGTGGTGTGGCGCGCCCAGCACCGTGGAGACAGCCTTGGGGCACAGGGCCAGGCCCCAGGTGCCAGCCTGCCCAGAGCTGTCATTAAAAGGAATCACAGCTTAAGAGAGACGAGGAGCCCCAAGAAGATTGTCTGCCAGTCCCTCGTTCCGTTCAGTCTGCCTCCCAGAGATGGGTGGGGAGCAGCTGCCCTCCAACAGGGCCCGGCGAGCGCTAGAGACGGACTGCCCCAGGCCCAGGTGCCGCACGCCCAGGGGACACCCACGGTGCCATGGAGGGCGTGTGGGGAGGAGGGTGCCACTCACTGTTCTAACTAGCTGCATGAACTTCTGAATGGCAAATGGGTGACTGTTTCACTGAGAAAAGAGAAGTATTCTCCACCCCGGCGTTTTCCACAGGGGGGAGGAGGGCGGTGCGTGAGCGCGGCCGAGGTCCCGCAGCGTGCCCTTCCCGGCTCTCTGCCCTCCCAGACCACCTCGGGTCGAAAGTTCCCCTTGGGACCCGCCTCAGCGTCTCCCACATCTGCTCATTTTCCTCCGTCAGTTTTGCAGGCAGGAGAATCCCTGAGAGTTTCATGCATGAAAGTTTAACTTTAAAACTGACTAAAAGGACTTAAACTTTTCTTTGTATTCATGTTTAGGGTCACCTTTGTTTACCGCAGTCGTTTTCCATGAACGATGACAGTATAATATTTTCTTCTACAATAAATTTTAAGTCAGAAAAGGAATTAATTTAAAGGAAACTACTAAGCAAATAATAATACAGGTGGCATTCGGCGATAGCCAAGATCGTGGGAGTGGCACACAATGACTTCAGTTTTCGAAAAGTGTGTTAACTCTGCAGCTGTCGTTAACGGGAAGATGAAGTCTTGCTAGTTAGTTGCTGCTGGAAATGGCTGTAGATCAAGTCAGAACCAAAATTCTTATCTTGGCAGAAAGCTGTCACCAGCCCATGCCTCAGGACACATCATTTGTGTTACACAGTTGTGTAAAAATACACAACTACCGGTGTACTTTTTTTTTTTTTGGAGGCATGATCTTGCTGTTGCCCAGGCTGGAGTGCACTGGCTGGATCAGACAGAGCTCACTGAGCCTCAGACTCCTGGACTCAAGCAATTCTCTTGCCTCAGCTTCTAAGTAGCTGGGACTGTAGGCACGTATCACCACGCCTGGCTAACTTTTTTATTTTTTGTAGAGATGGGGTCTCACTATGTTGCCCAGACTGGTCTCGAGCTCCTGGCCTCAAGCGATCCTCCCAGCTGGGCCTCCCAAAGTGCTGGGATTACAGGTGTGAGCCCCCTTCCATGGCCACTGGTGTACTTTTAAGAGCAGTTAGTAGCGATTATTCTGAAATTTTTCTAGGATGATATTAGCACAGCCAAGCTCTTGGCCAGTGTTTTTCTGAATTGTTTACTCATTCATTGGCTTATTTTTATTTTTAAAAACTGAGAGCAATGCAGCCCACCGTTCAGAGGAAATCACCACGTAGACAAGGCGGAAGGCGAGCCCAACCCCTGGACCATTGCTGCTTATTCAGGGGACGTTTCTGAGCATTCCCTTTATGTCGAGCTCTGATCCAGACATGCGCTTGACCGGGGGCAGCCGACATTTTCCTTAAAGGGCCAGATAGTAAATAAGTATCTGGGGTGTTGGGGCCCATGTGGTCTCTGTCACAACCACTCAGCTCTGCCGTTGCAGCAGGAAAGCAGCCATAGATAAGCAATGCATGGGCATGGCTGTGTGCTTCAAATGGCGGTGTGTGTGACATGGTCATGTTTTCGGTTAGAAAACAGCATTCCGACGAGCAGGACAGCTCGATGAGTTGGGGCCAGAAAGGAGGCTCTTGCCATGTTAGGGCCAAGAGGCAGCTCGGCCAGGGTGGAGGTGGGAGAGAGAGCGAGGGACGTGGACGCATCCGCGGGTGTCCAGGAGGAAACTCAGACGGACTTGGAGATTGCTGGCTGGGAGTGAGGGAAGAGGTATGAGGACACCCGGTGTCTGGCCTGTGTGCCTGAAAGGCCACGCATTGAGGCAGGTGGTGCCAGCAGAGGCCCTGAGCTTGGGCTGGACATCTTGGGTCTTGGGGACCTTTGGCACCCAGTGGGGGCTTAGGGATGTGTGTCTCATAGCAAGTTGCACGCAAGAGTCTGAAGCTTCAGGAGTTGGGGGCTGGTGGTGTGAGTCACCAGCCTCTCAGGGAAAATGACAGGCTCGCGCAGCGGGGGTGCAGAGTGGGAGGATGATGTCGGAGCCGCTGGCCCTCGAGGGGAGGGGGCTGCTCGTCCGTGACTGCAGGAAGTTTCAGCGGCCGGAGGGCTGCAGATGCGGCTCCCATGCAACGCCCACCCTTTTTCCTCCCTCCTTCCCTCCCCCTTCTGTCCTTCCTTCCTTGCAGTAGCAGACGAGGTCAAATAAGGAGAGCGAGGGAAAAGGAGGGCACATCAGGGGTGTGGGGCAAGGTCTGAAACCATCCTGGTGGGGAGTAGAGAGACCGTAGCAGGCGGTGTGGGGCCCGTCGCGGTCAGTGATCAAGAATCTATAGCGGACCACACACCCCTATAATATGACTTACTCTTCCCTGTCGAGTGATTTTCGTAAGTCATCTAGACTTGCGTGTTGCAGAATGAGGTGGCGGAGAGAGGAGGGTACGACCCCAGGAAGACAGAGTGAAGCGAGCACGGAGCAGGGCGAGCTGGCCGGGGCGGCCCGTGCGCAGGCAGAGCTGGGGGCAGGCGGGGGGCAGGGTCCCCGCACACGGCCGTTCTCGCGTGGGAAGGAAGCGGAAACGCGCCGGGCGGGATCAACCAGGGCGGCAGCAGGTCTGTCTGGGCACAGCCGGCAGCGCAGTGCGGAGGGCCGCTGGGCGCAGGGAGCAGTGGCAGGACGGGAGGCGTCTGGGTAAGCCGAGGCAAGTGTAAGGAAGCCCGTAAAAGTTCGGGTGATTTTCTTTTTCCTTGTAGGCAGGTTGGGCTGCAAAGAGCATCTGGACAGGGGGCAGGGCGGGACAGAGAGTGGTGGGCGTCATGGGGCCTTGGCCACGGCTGTGGAATTTGCTGCATTGGGCTCTAGGAGTTGGCTCTGTTAGGTTTAACTGTGTTACAGTTGAGTAGATTATTGTAGAGCAAACTCTGCCACAGAATTTCAGGGGCGTTGCACTGGGATGTCAAATGCGAAGATCTGACGAAAACCCGTTCTTTAAAATAAGCTTGGAATCAGCCATGCGCACAAGGAGGCCTCGTTTCTGTCTCAGACTTTGAGAGACGGAAGCATCCAGACTCGGCCGGGGTGTGCGCGGAGGAGGGAGCGCTGCTCACAGCTTGGGTGTCAGCAGGGCCGGGGGACCTGAACCCACAGACTTTCCGCCTGAGCTCACTCGCCTCTGCTGCCTCCGGGCTCTGCCATGCCTTCTCCAGCAAGCCGCCCCCGTGGGGGACGCAGCGCCCTCATCTTGTCCTTTGGTTATTTGTCCCACTTTTCTCTTTCAGAGAGCCACTGCCAAGGCGACAAGTCGATATTCTGTAGGATGGAAGTCTTGTCTCGCTATTGCTCCATCCCAGGCTACAACAAGCTGTGCTGCAAGTCCTGCAACCTGCACGGCAACCTCACCGGCGTGGAGGACGGCGCGGAGCCGCCGCCTGGGAAGCACAACGACATCGAAGTGTTCATGCCCACTCTCCCCGGCCCCACCGTGGTGGCGGAGGTGCCGCCTTCGCCAGGCACCCCCCTGGAGGTCCCCCTCAACGCCTCCAGGACCAATGCCACTGAGGACCACCCGGAAACCAACGCCGTAGATGTACCCTACAAAATCCACGGCCTGGATGATGAAGTCCAGCCACCCAACCTGATCCCTCGACGGCCGAGCCCGTATGAAAAGACCAGAAACCAGAGAATCCAAGAGCTCATTGAGGAGATGCGGAAGAAGGAGCTGCTCGGGAAGTTCTGACGAGACGGACAGAGGCGTCGATAGCATTTCCCGGCTTATACGGACATTCCATGGGTAGCACATCCTGCGTCATGAAGATGAAGCCAAAATTCCTGATTCCAAAAGGTTTGGAGAAAACAAAGAGGAGAAATTATATTAAAAACGTAGGCGTGGCCACTAGGCTGGCGTGCGTGTTCCCGCAGTGGCGCTGGCGTGGAGTGCAGAGGAGCACGGAGGCACCACGCCTGCCAGGGAGGGCAGGGACGGGGACGATTCTGGGAGAAGCAAGCTGGCCCGGGTTGCTGAGTGGCCACTGGGAATCTTCCCGTCCTTCGTGGTGATGCAGGACATTTCCCGCCAATCCCCAGACCAAGCCACTTAGCAACTGACCCGTTGCCAGGATGAGTACAGCGAAGTGGAGGTCAGGGACTCAGATGCCAGGTAGGTGACGAGGATGAGGGCAGTGGCCAGCTGGGGACTGTGGCCATCCTGAGAGCCACGCCCGTCTAACCCTGATGGTCGGTTCTGCTTGTTGCTGCCCTGTGACATCTCTTTCTCTCTTCTCCGCTGCCCCTGGCCTTGCCGGACAGCGCATTTTCGGAAGTCTAGATTTGCACATGAAAAGGTGTGACCTTTAAAGGTCAACTGCACATGTTTTCAGGGGGTCTGGGAGTCCGTCAGGCTTTAGATCATCAGGCTTTAGATCATCAGGCTGCCACCTCTGGTCTCAGGCGTGGCCTAAAGCAGTTTTGCAAATCGAGGACTGGGAGTCACCTGACCCACGCAGTGCTCACGTGCTGCATTTGAGCGCGCCGACCTGGTCCGTGCCGTGTGGCTGTCCTTCCCGGGGGGCGATGAGAATCCTGTAACTGGAGACGCGAGGATGGACCCAGACGGGCTGTGCCGAGAAGACACGGGGGCGCCGTCCCAGCCTCTGCCTCTCCACCAGCCTGGCCTTGCCGGCGCCCCCCCGGCTCTGCTGGACGAGCCCCTCGTTCTCCTCTGGCAGCCTGGCCCTGGGCGGCCCCAGAGGGCCCTCTCCCTCCCCAACGGCCCCAGAAGCATGAGGGAGACACGTGCTCTGCTGGGAAGGCCCGGTGAGCGGCCCAAGGCCCAGAAACCCCCTGCCCAGCGAGGCCAGGGCGCTGCCGCCCGCGTGCCAAGCCCGAGGGTTCTGAGTCCTGGGCTTTGTGGGCTCCGCTTGGCTCCCGAAGAGCAGCTTCGCTTGCCCGCCGGGTGGGCTGCCCGGTCTAGCCCACCGCCCGCGTCTGTCCCCAGAAGTCCCGGAGCCCAGCAGTGAGCCTCAAGGCTGGGCCCTGACGGGAGGCTTAGGGGAGGTGGCGGGAGCCTACTTCACCTTTAGGTCTCTCAAAACTTTGAATGATTTCCATTTCAGCAAAACGGTTTTTATGAGAAAGATGGAAATAAGAGAAAAACAGGAGGGAAGGAGTGGGGATGGACGGGAGGAAGGTGGCTGATTGTTACCTCTCACCGCATGTGTGTTTTGTGAACACGCAGCTAAAGGTCCCAAAATCGTAAGACCCGGGCACGCCAGCGCCGTAGCTGGGCCTGGTCTGATGGTGCGTGAGCTCTCCACGCCGCGCCATCTCAGAGGCCGCGTGCTGTCGCTCGCCCGTGCTCGTTTCCCCACTGGACGGCCGGGCAGACCGCGGCGCGGGATGATCCGCAGTGGCTGCTTGCTCACAAGGCTCGAGGCGCTGAGAGCGTGTGGTGTCGAACTTGCGCGTGTGGTCCAGGAACGAAGCGAGGGTGTGGGGACCGGCGAGAACAGAATCTGGGACGATGTTTAACTCCCCACCTGGGTGGTGACTGGCCTCCCCTCCGCCACCACACCCCACACACGCCCATGCCCTGTCCTGCTGTCTCCCGAAGAACCAAACTGGAGAAAACCTTTTTGACTCCCTCTCATGGTACCACGTCTTTAGCAAGATGTGGTCTAGAGCACCCCGCACTGCCGCCTCTCCAGTCAGGAAACGGAGCCGCAGCCTCCATCCCGTGCTGAACCCAGGACACTGGTGCTACTCACAGGCAGTCTCTGTCTGGGTCTGTCCTAGAGCGTGCAGGAAACTCAGGACTAACGCTAGCCAGAGAGCGTCACTTGGTTTACCCAGCGTCAGGATGGGAGTGCTCCTTCCTGGATCCCGGCAAAGCAGGGCTCATGCTTTGGGGCTGGAAGCCTTTGCAAAGAGGCCCTGGGTGGCCCATTGCTGGGCACCGGTCGTACTCTGAGAAGCGTAGGGCAGTGTGGCCATGGCCCCAGGTGCCATCTCAGTGCCTGAGCCCTATATCCAAAGAGGTCTCTAGAGCTAGATGGTCCTCAGATGTCTCTCTGTCCAAGGAACTCAACGTTCACGCGGCTCTGAGAAACTGCAACTCTCCACTGAGCGTCAGACCACCTGGAGAACCAGCTTAGAAACAGTCCTGACCTTTCCGAGACAGCCTCTGCATCTGCGGGCTCCTGGCGCCCGAGGAGGAAATGTCTTCTAGCTGAGTTCCGAACACCAGGATAAGAGTCAGACCGTCCGCGGCACCGGAAGATCTGCTGGGGTGCCCGAGAGCCCCTCCTCTCCTCACTTGTGGGCAGATTCGTGTTCGATTCTTGGAATTTAGCCTCTGATTTACTCCTTTTGGAAAACCCATGGAATTTCATGTATAAGCCTTTCACTTGTATTTTGAGGTTTTTTCATTTGCGTATATAAATGGTGCTCAATAGCAACATCTTTGTCAGATGACACATTATGATTCTGTTTACTCCTGTATGACAGGTAACCATGGTACTGAATCATCAAGGTGCTGAACTAGAATCACAAAATTTTATCTTACTGATAACAGCAGTCAATACGTTTTTGTTCTGTATGGTAAAATTTGACTCACTTGTATAACTTATTAAAGTTAAAATGTCTGTGTTTTTGCAAATCATGCCTGTGTTTGTTTGTTACCTTGACTGCACTTGGCCGCACCCCAGCCTGACGGGGCGGACGGGTCGAGCTGCCTTGGCGAGGCCGTGAGGTGGGGGGAGCCCCAGGGAGTCTGAGCCGCCACCGCTGCTCAAGTCAGGACTGTGCGGAGGGCAAAAGGCGCCCAGAAAAGGGTCCCCTCTCCCAGCTTCCCCCGGGGTCGGCTCTGCATGTGACATGACTGAGCCCAGAGCCCCAGTTTAACCTTGAGCTCAGGGGAGAGATGCAGGAATCTCCTCTCCCCGATTGCAACACCTTCTCTCCTATGAGTAGGGTTTCCAGAAAAAATGCTAGACGCTGAGTTAAATTTGAATTTCAGAGAAACAACGAATACTTTTTTACTGTGAAAACAGGACACACTAATACTAAGAAATAATTTGTTGTTTCTACGAAATTCAGATTTAACTGAGAGTCCTGTACTGTTGTTTCCTGAATTCGGTCCTCCTGTCCTCCGTGCTCCCCTTCCAGAGGAAACTCGGTTGTCGCTGGCCCGCGTTGCCGCCGCAGGGGCTGGGGAGGCGGGGATTTCCTGCGGCCCGGTTTCGTGGTCCCTCACGCACTCTCCAAGAACACGGACGCGGCAGCTGTCGGGTACAGGACTCTATGGATGCCATTATGTCAAATTTGCTAATTTGTTACTCAAATATTTTGTATCTGGACTTTGTTGTCTTCTACTATTTTGACAGAAAGTGATTTTAATAGCTCCCACTGATCGTGGATTTTACTATTTCTCCTATTTCTGTTGCATTTTTATCAATTTTTGCCCTCCTTTTAAAAAGTAATCTATTTTGCTATACTGAGGTCACATTTAGGGGAACATACACATTTCTCACTGTTACTGTCTTCTTGGTGGCATCATCCTTTTATCATTATGAACTGGCCAACTTTATTTCCAGGAATAATTTGCCTTGAAAGTCCTCCCCGAATGTTAGTCCAGTGGTGCTGTATCAGGTTTCTTTCGGTTAATAGTCGCATGATATAACTTCTACTCCTTTACTTTCAAATTCTCGATATCCGATGTGTTCTATTTGTACTTTTTTGTTTGTTTTTTTTTTTTGAGACAGAGTCTCACTCTGTTGCCCGGGCTAGAGTGCTGTGGCGTCAGCCTAGCTCACAGCAACCTCAAACTCCTGGGCTCAAGCGATCCTCCTGCCTCAGCCTCCTGAGTAGCTGGACTACGGACATGCGCCACCATGCCCGGCTAATTTTTTCTATATATTTTTAGTTGTCCAATTAATTTCTTTCTAATTTTAGTAGAGACGGGGTCTCGCTCTTGCTCAGGCTGGTCTCGAACTCCTGAGCTCAAACAATCCGCCCACCTCGGCCTCCCAGAGTGCTAGGATTACAGGCGTGAGCCACCGCGCCCGGCCTCTATTTGTACTTTGTAAACATATAATTTGTAATAAGTCTGACATTTTTGATCTTTCCATTGGACCATTTAGCTGGTTGCATTTAATGCCGTCACTTTCACCCAGGCCCTCCACCTGCCTCTGGACCCTCTACTTGTCCTGAAGGGTTCCGCATTCTTTTTTCTCCTTTCTCACTGTCCTTTGGATTGGGGGCTGCTTTTTCCATTTCATTTTAACCCTCTGTTAGTTATGAAGCTACATACTGTTTTTCTCCTATTTTAATGAATATTCCAGGAACTTCACCATGCATTCTTGACTTGCCGAAATCTGTGCTTGCTCTTAAAGCGACCCTCTTTCCCACAATGCAAATTCTTAGAACAGTATTCTCAAACTGTGCCTTCAAATTATCAATTTTCATTTCATTATTCCCTTAGAAGGAGTTCATGGAAAAATGAAATAAAGAAAAAGCAAAGATATGCAAAACACATGCCCAATTTGAAAAATAATTTTGGGGTAAAACTGACATACAATAAACTGTACATATTTAAGCGTATAATTTGAAAAGTTTTGAGAAATATACATAAATGGAAACCACCACCACAAGCAAGACAGTGAACACATCCATCACCCCCAAATTTATTTCTACCCCTTTGTAATCTCCCTTCCTTTCACTCCTATCCCCAGGTAACCACTGGTCTCCTTTGTATCGTTACAGATTAGTTTTCATTTTCTAGAGTTTCATAAAAATGGAATGAAACAGTATCTACTCTGCTTCTTATCAGCATAATTATTTTTAGACTCATACATGTTACTGAATGTATCCACAGTTCATTCCCTTTTACTCCCGAGGAGTATTCCACTGCGTGGCTGTCCTGCAATTTGTCCATTCACCAGTTAATGGACGTGTCATTTCATGCCCTTGTCATATATGTGAGACAAATATGTAGATATATGGTGAGGTAGCTGTCAATCTTTGCCAAGTTTTTATTGGGTTGTTATTTGAGAATTCTTTTTATATTATGAACACAAGTAACTTATCAGATATATGTTTTGCAAATATTTTCTACCTGTTCTGTGGCTTTTCATTCTCTTAACAGTATCTTTTGAGGCGCAGAAGTTTTTAATTTTAGTAGAGTTCAGTTTATCAGTTTGTTCTATTTTGGACTGTGCTTATCATGTTGTATCTAAGAAACCTTTGCCAGACTTAAGGTCACAAAGATTTTCTTCTGTGTTTTGTCCTAGGAGTTTCATATCCTCAGGTTTTACATTTATGTCTATATTTTGAGTTAATTTTTGTACATAAAGTGAAATATGCATCCAAATTCATCTTTTTGCATCTGGATATCCAAATGCTGTACCATCTTTTGTTTAAAAGATGAGGCTTTCCCCACTAAATTACCGAAGGTCATGAAGATTTCCTGTTTTTTTTGTTTGTTTGTTTTTGTTTTTACACGTTTAGTAGCTTCAGCTCTTACATTTAGGTCTATGATCCATTTTGATTTACTTTTTGTCTGGGGTGTAACATTAAGGTCTACATTCATCTTTTTGCTTGTAGATATCCAATTGTCGTTTGTTGAAAACAAACATCATTCGTTGAAAAGGCTATCTTTTCCCTATAAAATTTCCTTTGCATGTTTGTGAAAATAAAGTGATCGCAATTTTAAGAATTTTTCTATCAATTCTGTTCCATTAATCTATGTCTGTCCTTACACTAGTGACACATTGTCATATGTAGCTTTCAGTAAGCTCTGAAGTCAGGAAGTGTAGTCCTTTAACTTTGTTCTTTTTCAAAATTGTTTTGGCTCTTCTGGGTCCTTTGCATTTCCATATTCATTTTTAAGTCAGCTGGTCAATTCTGCAAAAAGGCCTCCTGGAATTTGAGAGGGATTACATCGA